AAGCCCCAGCAAATTTACACTGGATTTGTGGTAAGAAAACTTATTCGGAGTTACCACAAGATTGGGAAGGGGCATGTGTATTAGGTATGCCAAAGCCATCTTTCTTCTTGTTGCCTATTGAAACAGGTGAGACTTTAGGTGTTAAAGTGTATGATGTGAATCATAGGAAGAAAAGGGGACCCATAGAGATAGGTGCCTGGGAAGATAATGAATGGCCTCCCAGCGTATTATAGATTATTATGGGCCAGCCACGTGGGCAGAGGATGGTACCTTTGGTTATAGAACCCCTATTTATATGCTCAACCGCATTATAAGGTTACAGGCGGTGGTTGAGATCATTACTAACGAGATATCACAAGCGCTCAATCTTCTAGTGAAGCATAATACCAGGATGAGGACAGCAGTTTACCAAAATAGATTAGCCTTGGATTATCTTTTGGCAGTAGAGGGAGGTGTATGTGGGAAGTTTAACCTGAGCAATTGCTGTCTTCAAATAGATGACGAAGGGCAAGCAATAGCTGAACTTACAAGCCACATGGTTAAACTAGCGCATGTGCCTACTCAGGTATGGAAAGGGTACAATCCAAGTAGTTGGTTTGGTAGCTGGTATGAGTGGTTTGGAGGGCTTAAGGCAGTGGTAGGTGGAGTCCTACTGATTTTAATGTTGTGTCTACTCCTGCCGTGTCTTATACCCTTAGTAGTTAGGTCTGTGCAAAGCCTGATAGAAAATATAGCAGAGAGGAAGGCTGCTGCACAGATAATGGCAATTTATAAATATAAGGCTCTAGATCAGGGAGAACCAATGCAGGAAGACGAGTGTTGAAGATTCACATCATAGGATAAGTCTGGTCTGGTTCAAAGGTAACTTGTGGTGTATGCAAACCAAGGTTAAGTGATGCCTCAAGTAATTGTAAAATATCAAGAGGCATCAAAGGGGGGAATGTGGTGGAATCTCGGTAAAAATAAATTTAGTAGGCCAAAATCTCCATGTGGCATATGTGTATGTTGTGTCAGTTGTTTAGCTACATGTAGCTAGGATACTGTCATCAGTGTACTGAGCATGTGCAGGAATGCAGGAACTGAAATTGCACTTATTTCCTTTGTCTTGGATGGGCCATGTGGTTTGACTAGATGTACAAGTCTATATTCTGCTCATTGATTGGTTAAAGGTATATGTGGGTGTAGCTATTAATGGGAGGAGTTATGTGCCTATATAGGGAGCCTGCACTATTGTTCAGGGCTCAGAACTTGCTGTATTTTTGGTGACATTAGTCCCTCTGAGTCCCGATCGGTGATCCAATAAAGAATCTCCTCCTTCCTGAAGAAACCTGTGTCCATCTCTCTGTGCTTTGCTTCCGTCAGTTTCTCCGGTATCACTATCTCTCCAAACTACAGTGCAATCCCTCTATACAACAAAACTAAATTGTATTGTAAGTACTTTATGTGTGATGTAATTTTGCCCTTTCAAATGTATTTTGTTTTTTTCTCTCATCACTTCCTGTAATGTCGTGCATAAACAATTCATACATTTTTTTTATTAATTAAGAATGCCCATTTTTTTTATTCCAAGAAAGGCAGCACCCCTAACACAAGTCCCAGTGTGCCCCGAGCTGATTTAATGGGGATTATATGTAACATTTTAGCACCAATTTTGTATGAATGTGCTATTCTCGTATGTATAAAATAATTACACCACCTTTATATATTTTAGACTTTTTTTCCTCCTTTTCTCTAATGTAACAACACAATCTGTGCTTTTACTCCTTTTTTTTTTACTGATGATTTGACCGTTTAATACATTCACAAAATTAAACAAATTAGTAAAATTACTAGGAAAAAAGATCCATTTACAACTTGAAGATTTTTTTATTCTTTAAACAAAAAGAGTACGAAAGCTGCTTACCTGTCATCAGGGACGTATTAGCCGCGAGGCAAACAAGGCATTTGTTTGCCTCGCCCCCAAATGCCCAGGGCAAATGCCTAGTTAGCCTCGCGGCTAACAGACATGCTGGGCTGGCGGGCGGCGCTGGCTGAAGGTCGGGCGGGCGGCTGGCGAGGGAGCGCTTCCGCTGAGCAGACCGCTCAGAGGAAGAGCTCCCTCGCCAGCCGCCCGCCCGCCCAGTAGCCAGCCCATCAGACCGACTGGCAGCCACTGGACCACCAGGGAGAAAGAGGAACCCCCTCTACCCCCAGCACTCCCAAAGGCAAGGGGGGGTTAAATTAAAAAAATAAAGTGTTAATGTGTGATTGTGTGTGTGTGTGTGTCTGTGTCTGACGGTGTGTGTGTGTCTGACTGTGTGTGTGTTTGTGTCTGTGTGTGTGTCTGACTGTGTGTGTGTGACTGTGTGTGTGTGGGTGCCTGAGTTTTGTCCTGCCTAGGGCAGCACAAAACCAGGATACACCACTGACTGTGTGTGTGTGTGTGTTTGTGTGTGACTATGTTTGTCTGACTGTGTGTGTGACTGTGTGTGTGTGGGTGCCTGAGTTTTGTCCTGCCTAGGGCAGCACAAAACCAGGATACACCACTGACTGTGTGTGTGTGTGTGTTTGTGTGTGACTATGTTTGTCTGACTGTGTGTGTGACTGTGTGTGTGTCTGACTGTGTGTGTCTGACTCTGTGTGTGTCTGACTGTGTGTGTGTTTGTGTCTGACTGTGTGTGTGTGTTTGTGTCTGGCTGTGTGTGTCTGACTGTGTGTGTGTTTGTGTCTGACTGTGTGTGTGTCTTACTGTGTGTGTCTGACTGTGTGTGTGTCTGACTGTGTGTGTGTATTTAGAAGGTGGGCGGGGGGAAGGGTTGGGTGGGGGTGCCTGAGTTTGTCCTGCCTAGGGCAGCCAGCCAGGATACACCACTGCCTGTCATGGAATATCTGCCGCTATGCCGTGTCTGACTGTGTGTGTGTGTCTGATTGTGTGTGTGTGTGTGTGTGTGTCTGTGTGTGTGTGTGTGTGTCTGTCTGTGTGTGTGTTTGTGTCTGTGTGTGTGTCTGACTGTGTGTGTGTGACTGTGTGTGTGGGTGCCTGAGTTTTGTCCTGCCTAGGGCAGCACAAAACCAGGATACACCACTGACTGTGTGTGTTTGTGTGTGACTATGTTTGTCTGACTGTGTGTGTGTTTGTGTCTGACTGTGTGTGTGTGTTTGTGTCTGACTGTGTGTGTGTGTTTGTGTCTGACTGTGTGTGTGTGTTTGTGTCTGACTGTGTGTGTGTCTTACTGTGTGTGTCTGACTGTGTGTGTGTGTGTGTGTCTGACTGTGTGTGTGTGTGTGTGTATTTAGAAGGTGGGGCGGGGGGGAAGGGTTGGGTGGGGGTGCCTGAGTTTTGTCCTGCCTAGGGCAGCACAAAACCAGGATACACCACTGCCTGTCATGGAATATCTGCCGCTCTGAGTGTGGCTGAAACATTTGTCAGAAAAATAGTTCATTCTGGTACCTCTTTTTTTAAAATACATTAGAAGCAAACATGAACCCAAAAAAAGAACGAAAATGAAGAAGGAAAATTAAATGACATAAACACACAATAAGAAATATTTTGGTGCAGAGAAGGCGCATCAATAGCAAAAGAGCACAAAAAACTGTTTAAAATGTTCACAATACATTTTCATACATAATAATGAGTGCCTATGCCCAGTGGTTTATCCTGGTTTTGTGCTGCCCTAGGCAGGAAAAAACTCAGGCACCCCCTTCCCCCCACGCCACCTTCTAAATACACACACACAAACAGTCAGACACACACACACAGTGACATACACACAGTCAGACACACACACACACAGTCAGACACACACACAGTCAGACACACACAGTCAGACACACACACACAGTCAGACACACACAAGCACACACACAGTCAGACACAAACACACACAGTCACACACAAACACACACACACACAGTCACACACAAACACACACACACACACACAGTCAGACACAAACACACAGTCAGATACAAACACACAGTCAGACACACACACACAGACACACACAGACAGTCAGACACACACAGACACAAACACACACACACACAGTCAGACACAAACACACACACACAGTCAGACACACACACACACACAATCACTCACATGAACACTTTTTATTTTTTTATTTAACCCTCCCCCCCAGCCTCCTTACCTTTGGGAGTGCTGGGGGTAGAGGGGGTTCCTCTTTTTTTCCTGGTGGTCCAGTGGCTGCCGGTCGGGCTGATGGGCTGGCTGCTGGGTGGGCGGCTGGCGAGGGAGCTCTTCCTCTGAGCGGTCTGCTCAGCTCCCTCGCTCGCCGCAGAGTGAGGCTGGGAGCCGTAATATGATGTCAGGGAGCTCAGCGGAAGTGCTCCCTCGCCAGCCGCCCGCCCGCCCATCAGCCAGCGCCGCCCGCCAGCCCAGCATGTCTGTTAGCCGCGAGGCTAACTAGGCATTTGCCCTGGGCATTTGGGGGCGGCCTTTTTTGCCGCCCCCTGGAAAATGCCGCCCAAGGCAAATGCCTTGTTTGCCTCGCGGCTAATACGTCCCTGCCTATGCCGTCACCATGCATTTGAGACAGGGGGACAGAAATTTTGTCTGATAGCTGCTGCTGCCTTTGAATGTGACTTCCAACAGTTATGTACTAAGCCTAATGGATACCTTGTGTGCCACGTGGAGAATATTGATGTACACTGACATAATATACTTTTCTTCTTCATGTATTTTTTTTTTTTTGTTTCTTTTATTTCCCTGTACTCAGGTTCATAATCCTCATTCTGTGCTATTGATGCGCCTTCTCTGCACCAAAATATTTCGTATATGTGGGAGGGCGGTGCAATAGCGAGATGGCGCAGACGTCTTTTAGCGAGTGCCTTTAACAAATTACCTCAAAATAAAGCATTTATTTGGGTACCTAGTTAGCTCATAACAATCTTTTTCTTTCCGCTTTATCATGGAAAATAAGCCAAAGAAGAAATAAGCAGTTCTATCAGTGGGATCCCAAGATATTGCTGATTTTCTCCTTCAAGTCCAGGAGAGAGTCATGCATAAAATGGTGGTCCTATGTGGTCAGGACATGTCGTCCTCAGAGGGACCCTCACTTGATGCAACTGACATACTACCACAGAGAGGTGACCTGAACAACACTTTTTCCGAAGTAGACGAAGATACACCAGCTACAAAGAAAGATGTTAAATCTTTATTGAAAGATATCAGACTTCTTCAAAAGGATCTCTCCAAAATCAAAGAGAAAATCTATAATTTAGCAGGCAGAGTGAAGGCCCTGGAAAAGGATTCTCATCATGTGCACTCCCAGCAGACCTCCATCCTTTTAACTCAAAAGCAAAGACTTAAGGCTGATGATGAGCTTCTGCTGAAATTGTTGGACCAAGAGGACAAAAGTCACTGCAATGTCATTGCAGAGGCCATCGATGCGGGGGAAATGCCACACGTCCTACACTGCTTATTTCAGGGTCTATTACCCCACAAACAGGCTAAACATATGCTCTTAGATGCTTACTATCATATAACTAAATATACTAAGGACCCACCACCTTCCCAGGGGGATGTGATTGTACAGCTGTGTCTCATTTGGACAAGATGGCTGTTTTGTCCTCAGTAAGGGGCTCACACACATTTTTCTATGCTGACCTCTCCAGACTTTTTTTGTGTGGCAACAATCATTTCAGCCAGTGATCAAGATGCATAAGATATTAATATCCTATACTGCAGGTAACCCCAGGGTTCTACACATTGCTAAAGATGGGACACTCTTCAAGCTTTTGTTTGTATGTTGTTTTTCTCCAATCAGTTGTTTGTTTATCTGCCCTGCTGCCATTTAAATGCAAGGATGTGTTTGTCTGTACTGTTGACATTTCAATGCAACTGTGTATATGTGTGTAGTTTGTGCTTGAATGCAGATGTGTCTTTTTATTAATGCTGTTTCAGTGTATAGGTGTGTTTGCATGTAGTGTTTTTGTTTAAATGCAGTGGTGTATTTGTGTGCAGTGTTGATGTTTGAATGCAGAGTGTGTTTGTGTGCAGTGTTGGCATTTGAATGCTGGCATCGATGCATTATTTCCCTCGGGTCCAGTGGGAACGATCTACGGGATGTGGGAACAGGTTGACTATGACTGATGGGATTCTGAGGGACATGCTTCTTCAGTACCTCTCCTCCTTCTGTCAATGCCTTCTCCTCTCTCTCCTCTCCCCACTATGTGGTTCTCTGCAAGCTTGGAGGAAGTGACTGAACTGAACTCCACTAATGATCTGACAGGAGCCCAGCCTGGTGACCTCTAAAAGAGCTGCAGATCAGAAATCTCCCACTCATACTTAGGGCTACCCGATGAGTTGCTGGGACCCTGTGACACACTTAGGTCCTAGTCGCACTCACAACATTTGCAACCCCGGGAGTTCTGCCACTGGCTGTGATCCACCAACAAAGCTTCTCATGGAGTAGCAGTAAAACTAGTAATGTGTACGAGAAGCACTCACTTCCGCTTTGAACTCCAGTCCAAGTGAGTGAGGCAGACAACCGTCCCAGCTGTCTGCTTTTTGGCCGGGACATGTTACTAAAGGAATTTATATAAGTGTTGACTGAAGCTGAAGTTCTTTAAGAAATTGGAGTGTCCCTTTAACCCCTTAAGGACCAAAGTTCTGTAATAAAAGAGAATCATGACATGTCACACATGTCATGTGTCCTTAAGAGATTAAAGGACCACTATAGTGCCAGGAAAACAAACTCGTTTTCCTGGCACTATAGTGCCCTGAGGGTGCCCTCACCCTCAGGGCCCCCCTCCCGCCGGGCTGAAGGGGTAGGAAGGGGTTAAAATCTTACCTTTCTCCAGTGCCGGGCTCCCTCGGTCGTCATCGGCTGAATGCGCATGCGCGGCAAGAGCCGTGCGCGCATTCTGCCAGTCCATAGGAAAGCATTCTCGATGCTTTCCTATGGACGCTGGCGTCTTCTCACTGTGATTTTCACAGTGAGAAGCACGGAAGCGCCTCTAGTGGTTGTCAGTGAGACAGGCACTATAGGCTGGATTAACCCTAAAGTAAACATATCAGTTTCTCTGACACTGCTATGTTTACAGCTGTAGGGTTAACCTTAGATGGACCTGGCACCCAGACCACTTCATTGAGCTGAATTGGTCTGGGTGCCTATAGTGGTCCTTTAAGATAAAGTTCTCATCGATGGCAGTAGAATTACGTATGTATGACATTAACAACAAATGTGCAAATGTAGAATGAATAATAAAGCACAAAAACAATCCAACACAAAAAAATCTACAATGGCATGGCTGCAGCAGACGCAGTTTTGTGTTTTGGAATGGCCGTTTTAATCAGGGGTTATTTACTAACCTCCGCTGTCTATGAATAAATCGAAATGGCATAAATAGACTGGTTGTGTCTATGACTAAGCTGGAGAACTTTCCATATCAGCTATTTTTGTCACAGATGTTCCGTTCACATTTAATGTGTAAAACTCTGAAGTTTAGGGAACCCCAGAATGAGTAAAAATCAAACCCAACTGAAATTCAATCGCATTTCTTGAAACAGGAAGTCCATTGGAGAAAGCCCAGAAATATCAGTGACTTGAGACAGCCCTGGAATAAAATGAGATAAAATACCTTCAAGACTTTATGCAGGATTGTACATTATTATTGTTATCATTGGCATTTATACCGCCAACTTATTCCGCAGTACTTTACAATATTTAAGACTAAATGGGACAATTGCATAACGTTACAGGAACAATAGTTTGATGAGGACCCTGCTCAAATTAGATTACAATCTAGGTCAACATATACAGAAAATGTTTTGTTTTGAGTAGGGCTCTCACTTTCTGTAAGTCAAACTTGTATTGTTGAATTTACTTTTTTATTGTGTTAAAAAAATGTACAGTGCTGCAGAAGATGTTGACAATGGTATAACTTCTAATGATAATAAGCATAATGATGTCATTTATTGCAAATGGCAGTGTCACCTGTTTTCTATCAAACATGGAGACAGTTGTATTAATTTGTTTAGAACACTATAGTGTTAGGTATACAAGAAAACGGTATCCCAAACACTATAGTGTCCCTCTGCCCTTGTGGCACCCCCAGCCACTCACACAATCATGTAAGGGTTAAAAACTCTTGGAACTGGAGCTTGCTCCTCCTCCTGCCATAATGGTGATCCAGAAACGTAATGTGAATGTGCAGCAAGTGCCACGCATGCATTAGTGCTTCCTCACAGGAAAGCAGTGACTCTGTGCTTTCCTCTAGGGTTTTTAAAGGCACTGGACGTCCTCCTGCAAAGCATGAGGATGTCCAGATTCGTTTCACGGAGTAAAACTCTGTGTAAATGCAGGAAGCGCCTCTAGTGGCTGTCTGGTAGACAGCTACTACAGAGAGTCTTAACAGTGCAATGTAACACTTTGCAGTGTTAAGACTGTCTCTAGTTTTTATATTTTATATTGCAGGGTTAAGGGAAAAGAGACACTGCAACCATACCACTTCAACAAGACGAAGTGGTATGGGTGGCTAGAGTTTCCCTTTAATAAATACATGAAAAAAATGTTTTTGTTTTTGTTTGTTAATTTTGATAATCAGATTATTTTTAGCACTTAATACATGTTCAAATCATATTTTAGGTCTAAATTAATGCATGTGATGGTATTTATTAATTAATGACTTTACATCATAAAGAAAGCATATTTAGTGTAATGCTTTGGGGGCACCACTAGGGGGAGTGTGTAGGAAGACATGTGCTTCTGGCAGTGACATCACAGGCCAGCCTACTTACACTGAATAAAACCAGATGGAGGAGAAAACTCTGGCTCTCTTTGCCTGTACCTGACTGAACCTAAGATGTAGTACCAGCTCTGACTTAACCCCAGCCAAAGGGCTGGGGCCTTGTAAGTAATATGTTGTAGTTTTGTATTGTATCATTATTGTAGTAAATTGACATTCTGCTAGCATCTGTTTATTTATTATAGTTATATTAAATATACATTTAATATTACAATGTTTTGTGTATTTTCTATCCACATATTCGACCATAATACCATGAATTATAAAAATATTAATGTTGTTCCGTATTGCTTAATTATTATGTATTAAGAGATTAATATTCATATTTAGGTCACGACCACAACAATGCAGGACTGCAAAACACCTAATTATTTAACCCTTGCACAAGAACAATGTATTGAACATGCTCTTTTTTTGGTAGGCACTACCTAATGCTGATGGTGGCATGATTCATGCAACAGACATCTGTAGATTTCTTCACACCCTCTGCAAGTTTTAAATCCGCCCATTGTGAACATTTGTATTTAGCTGGGTGACTTTTTTAGCCTACAGGCAAGTCAATTAGCTCTGCATTTTTGCAAAAAAATATGGAACAAGTTTGTAATTGTGCCAAAGACATCCACTAATAACTGCTTGGAATTGTACCTATGGCTTTCTAACTTGGCACGTTAATTAACACTTGATATTGAGAACTATGTATATCTTTGGAACTCATGAGCCAATATCTTCAATGCACCCCAGCTCTATATACAGGGCCAGATTAAGAACCCAGTGGGCCTGGTGCTGACATTTATGATGGTCCGAATTACAGAATATTATCGACCAAAAACACTAAAACAGTCCTACCTCTCAAGCATTATGTATCTGGTGGAGATGTTGCCGGAGGGAAACTCATAGGATACAGCTATAAGAAAACTCAGATTCTCTTAAAATATGCTAATCTCTCTCTAATTTCATCTTTCAAGTAAATCCATACCCCCTAATAGCAGTGTCCAGTGAAGCAGGAAGTCAGTGGGTGGTGTAAAAGGGTGGGCAACTGACACAGATCATGTAACCAGAACTCCTGAAAGGGACGAACATGCCCAAAGAGGGGGCATGTCTGCCCAAAGAATTGGAAGGCTAGCCTGGCATAAATGCAAGTTAGGCTGCCTGCCAATCGTGCATGCTGGCCAACAGCATCCTGAGCTTGGCATAAATGTGTCTAATGATGCACTTGCTGGGAGACATGGGCACACAGAAACTACGGACACTGGGAGACATGGGAACAATGAGACACTGGTAGACATGGGGACACTAAGACACCAGGGACACTGGCTGGGAAACATGGGGACACTGAGACACTTGGGGACATTGTGTCCCTAGTGTCCCCATGTTTGCCAGTTTCCCTGAGTGTCTCAGATTCCCCATGTGCGTCTGTGTCCTCAGGTCTCCCTGTGTCCCCATGTCTCACAGTGTCCCCTAGTGTTTTAGTCTCCGCATGTCTCCCTGCAGCCTTTACCCCATCCCTCACTTCCCTGAACTGTAGGCTGTCTCTGCAGGCTGGTAGCTGCTGCCTGGACTCTCTGTGCTGTGTAGCTGCTCTCCCGCGGATCAGTGAGTAGAGAGATGCAGGTATATGCTGTTACCTTCTTATCCCTGCCTCTCTCCACACACACAGCAACCCCTACTGGCCGGTGCTGGTTTTGCAGAGTAATCTCTATTTATACTGAGAAAAATACTGGCATTTGTATTGCCGGTATTACTGCGATATCGTCCAAGGGGGCAACCCTAAGAGTTATTATTTTATTTATTTTTTAAATGGGCCTATTCCATGGGCCTGGAGCTGCAGCTCCATCAGCCCCTATGTTAATCCGGCCCTGCCTATATCCCATATTTACTAGAATCTAAAGCGCACCTTTTTTAAAAAAGAAATAAAGTTTCCAAAATGTAAATGCCTATTAGATTCGATGATGCATTACATTTGGGGCAAAATTCCAAATTTTCCGGTGAATTCACACACACAGGCGAATTAAAACTGGTGAATTCACACAGGCAAATTTAATTCTGGCAAATTCACACAGGCGAATTTCTTTCCTGGAAGACGACTTAAGAAAGAATAGACTTAACACTAAAATTGAAATACCATCAATGTTATTATGGTACATGGCAATAAACATTTTTATTGTAGCACAATATTCTATAAATGCACACTCCATTCGCCAGCAAAAAAAATTTTCAGCTTCCAGGTTTCAAAAATTGAGGTGCGCATCAGTTACGATTTTGCATTAGATTAGAGTAAATAAGTTTGGAGTATTCGATTGATGCATTTATACGACTAGTTTGGGGTGAATGTAATTAGGAGTGTGGTTGAATGATATGTGGGACAGAGCTGGGAGAGGGTGTGGGTGGGTGTGTGTGTTGAGGCTGCTTGTGGGCTGTACGTTTGTACGTATGCTGCGTGTGGGCTTGTGCCTGGAGGTGGCTGCTTATTGTGTTGCATTTGGGGTTGTTGTGGAGGAATAGGGACTTTAGAGGGGTTAGTGGTTATAGTGGGATTATAGGGGATGTAGTGGGGAAATAGGGTCAGTAGTGAAAGGATATATAGTTGCGGATAGTGGCTATGGTGAGGTGATGGGAGCCATAGTGGCAGGTATAGTGGCTATAGTTCTGGGGATATAGGCTATAGTGTGGAGGATAGTGGGGGGGCAGGGGCTATAGTGTAGGAACAGAGCCTATAGAATTAGGAATTAGAACTGTAGTGAGTGATTAGGGACTATTGTGGAGTGTATAGTGGTTATAGAGTAAATTATAATTAACAGATAACCAGATTTTTCACCATGTACACGTCAAGTGTTTGAAAATGTGTCTGTATTTAGGAGGGAGAGGGTATGCTGGGGCCCAGGTTAAATAAAGTTAAAGTATAAAAAAGTGGCCCTTGCACCCTGCATGACATGCACACAGTTGTTATTCGGCCTGTGGCATTTTTACCTCCAAAAAACACAGACACTGTATTTCTGTTGGAAATATAAAAGTTCACAGCTTTATTTTTTTTGTAATAAAACAAGATAACAAAT